ATAGTGTAATTATAGGAATGTTGAATGGCTATATTTAATCATTTACCCCAAGAAAATGCCATTAAATAAATATACTGTAAATAAAATATACTGTCTTTATGACATTTCTACATTAATTTGGAGATTCAATGTGAAAATATTTATGATTACAAATTTCATTGTCAGGTGCGATTAATCGCGATTAATTACAGAAAAAAGTGTGATTAATAATTTTTTTTTTCAATTGTTTGACCGCACTATTTTTTTTTTTGTTGTTGTTGCAAACCTATATTAGGTGTCATCAAAAATGCATCTAAGTCTAGAGACAGATTTATGAATCATGCTCGTTTTCTCTTAAGTGAACATTAAAATTTGAGTGAATTTTGAGTAAATGGACTGGTTGCACTGAGCTTCATAATGTACTTTGTTAATTTATGGCTTGACATGGCATTATTGCAATGCTGATTTTAAAATCTAGTCAGTCTTTAAAGCATAATGCAGCTGATCTGAGACAGCAGTGGGTGGCAAACATATGAGCAACTGCAACTACACCCTACTGCTGGGACACCCGAGGAGCCCGCCATCACACATAACCATAACAGCACAGCTTGAGCTCCCTTAGATTGATTAAAGCTTTTAAAGAAGTCTCTTCTGCTCACTAAAGATGCATTTATTTGGTCATAAATACAGTAACAAAAACATTTAAAATACTGGTATTGTGACAGCACTAAGTCCACTAAGGATGATCTGGAGCATGAGTGAGTGCAGTGTGTGAGAGGAAAAACACACCGTTTATAGCATCTGTGTGTGTGTGGTTCTGTTTAGTCAGTCTGACCCCGGGCCAGCGAAGAGTAAAGACAGAGGACATGTCAAAACGACACACTAATGTCCCTAAAAGACACGCAGGAACTGTAAAGCCTTTTAATTAGCCTGCCCTTGCTGTACGTTCCCTAGGCAGCGTCTGTCAGCTGATACGAGGCATGAAACAAAACTAATTTCCTCCCGCAGCAGAAGCCCAGAGAGTCAAGCAGCAGCAAGGACACACGGGAAGGAAGAGAGAGAGACTCACGCTGCTCTGATGAAGGACCTGCAGCACGCGGTTGACGTTGTTGAGGGAGTGAACTCTAGTAGAACCTCGCTCTTTGGTCTGAGAGACAGAGAGAGAGAGACAGAGAGAGAGAGAGAGTTACGCTATACAGACACATTCACAATTGTACAGTACAAAACAGTGCCACAGTATTACTGTGTTTTTGAACATGCTCATGAAAGACCTTGCAATAGGGCTGAGCGAAATGCACAACCATTCAAAAGTTTGGGGTTGGCAATGCTTTCGAAAGAAATCTTACTAAAGCTGCAGTTATGTGATAGAAAAAAATGATAAAAATCAGTAATATTGTGAAATATTATTACAATTTAAAGTAAGTGCTTTCTATTTGAATATATTGTAAAATGTAATTTATTTCTGTGATCAAAGCTGAATTTTCAAAGCCAGTCTTCAGTGTCACATGATCTTCAGAAATCAGTATAATATGCTGATTTGCTGCTCAAGAAACATTTCTGATTATTATCGATGTTGAAAACAGTTGTGATGTTTTGTACTTTTTTCTGGATTGTTTAATGAATCGAAATAACAGCATTTATTTGAAAAAGAAAGCTTTTATAACATTATAAATGTTTCTAATGTCATCAATTTACTGCATCATGCTGAATAAAAGTATAATTATAATAATAAATAAACAAACCCCAAACTTTTCAACGGTGGTGTAGTTTTTTCCCCTCTTTTGTCGATATTCAATATATATGTTGATATATATTGTATTTGCTGTAAAATTACTCGCGGGTGATTTTTTATTTTTTATTTTTTTATATGAAGAACCATTTCAACCAAACAGACTTTGACAAACTGATTTAAAATATTTGAGGAAAGAATTAAAAATCATCTTTTCTACACTGTTTTTCACTAAATGAACAAAATATGTGATATTTTATTTTAATTTTCAAGTGCAAATATACCAGTGCACGGAAATACACAGCACAATGTACCTACTTGTTACTTATGTGATACTTTGACTTAATACAATATATTAAAAAATAATAATATTTTTAATTAATCATTATTAGTATTATTAATAAAAATAATAATATTTAAAGCAATCAATATATTAAAAATGCCATGCAGACACAGACTACAAACATATGACCGATTCAAGTTTTGAAAGAGCCAGTTTCAAAAGGTTCATGGAAATGAATCAAACTCAACTCTGTTATAAACACATCTCTTAGCAGCATATAAACACTCTCATCCAGTGACATATGAGACAAGAAATTACAAAATGCATCTAGTCTAATGACATTTCACCAACCTTAATGGCCGAAATCATCGTTTTAATTTTTAATAAATAAATATTTGATAAATTACCCAGCTCTACCTTACAGTACTATGTAATAAATACTATGGCATAACCATTCCTCACAGTCTGATGCCTGATACATTCACTGCATCAGAATAACAGCGTGCTACTTCACATAAGAGCTACATCTCACATGAGGGGATCCTGTGGAAATAAAACTCTGTAATCACGAGTGATGAAGATGAAGCTTACAGCCTCTGTCACTCAAACGCTGTGTGTGTGTGTGTGTGTGTGTGAGTGTGTGTGTGAGAGAGTGTGTGTGTGTGTGTAACTCAGAATCAGTGCTTGGATGAGGCTAAATATAAACACATCATTCAGACACATTACACTCGAGTGCTATTCAAACCCTCCCAACCATCAAACACACACACACACACACACACCAGTGTGTTTCCAGTCAGCCCCTCCAGGAGATCGAGGAGTTTTCTGCCGTCTCTCAGCTCAGAGAACATGTCTTTGATGGGCGTCTTCCCCGTCTGCAACACATAACAGTAAAGTAACGCTAGTTAAATTCATTGGTCAAGTTCTTCCTCAAAAAAAAAAAAAAGGAAAAACAAAGCAGAATGTTAGTTTCACTGGAAAGCCATCAAAATATATAATATGCTGATTTGATGCTCAAGAAACGTTTCTGATTATTATCAATGTTGAGAACAATTGTGCTGCTTCATATTTTTGTGAAAATTGTGATATATTTTTTAGGATTCTTTAACAGAAAGTTCAGAGGAACAGCATTTATTTGAAATATAAATCACGATTTAGAACTATATAATGCATCCTAGATGAATAAAAGTGTTAATTTGGACGGATGAATCCATGAATTTAATAAAATGATACTTTAAAGAATATTTGTGTGCTTTATATTTTCCTCGTGTGGTAGGCGTTTTATAAGACACTGAAGGTCGAGCTGTGTTGTTAATACAGTCTCTGCATGTCACGCCTAACAAGCACTTCAGTGCTGACTATATTCACGATATACTGTAGAGGAGGAGCCTTGAGTGCATTCCTGCTTAAAGGAAGAACACAACAGTTTCAGATCTCCGGCCGAACGTGAGTGGTTCTTCACGAGACGCCACTCTGAGATCAGCCATCGAAGCAGAAGTTCAGAAGTTCAGCGTGAGCTCTGCCGGCACCGATACCTTGGAGAACTGCGCGTTGATCCACTTCGTGAAGGTTTTTTTCTGTACGGCATCATGTTCGTCTGAATATGAAGGACAGAGGAGGAGACAGAGAGAGAGAGAAAGAAAGAAGGAGTTTTATGGCACGTGGCAATACAGTAAATGTTCATGTGTGAATAAGCGCATGACACAAACACTGTTGAGATCTCTCAGACACTTTCACTTCCACAGACTAAAAAAAGAGCAACTGACACACAACAATTCTGATAATTCAGTTTAACTGAATGAAATGGCCATATCTTGTGTGTTTAGTTTAATTCAGGGACAAATCCTTAGTAATCAAATGGATACCAACATTGGAAGCGGATTCCCAACCTGAATGAGTTTCTTTCCTCTGTTGAACACAAAAGAAGATATTTTGAAGAAAGCTGGTAACCAAAACGTTGCTGGCAGCCATTGACTTCCACAGTATGAAGAAAAAAAAAAACACTGTGGAAGTCAATGGCTACCAGCAACTTTCTTCAAAATATCTTCTTTTGTGTTCAACAGAGGAAAGAAACTCATTCAGGTTTCAAGTAAATGATGAAAGTGTTCATTTTTGAGTGAACTGACCCTGTAAATATTTTGGATAATTTTATTATGCTTTCAGTTATTTCTCTCCGCTCTGCTTAATTACATCCACTCCACACAGTCCTGCAGATTTTCCACCCTGCTATTTCCGGGTGGGTCTACTCTTAACTAGAGGCCTTTAAACGAGTTACTCATTGACAGACATCTTTTAAATTGCAAGAACCTTGAGGTGTAGGTTAAGTAAGGGACCAATAAGATGCTTTCTTGTAACTGTCAAAGCACAGCAGCAGAGGTGGAGTCTGTCTAATGCAGGATCAGTTCAAAACATTACAGCATTAGAGTCACATTGTGTCTGTAGTCCATATATCCCTGTTCGAATCCACACAGAGCCTGTGTGAGATCCTGTTACTGAGGGACAAGATTCCCACGCACACGCACACACACACACACACACGTACACACACACGCACGCGCACACACGTACACACACACGCACACGCGCGCACACACACACACACACACACACACACACACACACGTACACACACAAGAGTGTTCATAACAAAAATCACTGTGTAACCAGCGTGAACCCTACAGGGATCAAAGGTTAAGACCACCAGCCTGCCGGGTCGCCTGCTCTTTTGAGTGAGTGTGTGTGTGTGTGTGGATTAGGGACAGGAAGTCAGGAATGCACTGCAGGCTACAGAGATGGTGTGAAGGAAAGTTTGTACACCACACACGCGCGCACACACACACACACACACACACACACACTTTCTCTCTCTCTTTCTCTCTCTCACACACACACACACACACACACACCTAGCAGTGAGAAACACATCTATCACACACAGGAAAGAACTGATCATCCTCACTATCAACAATGCAGTCATTTTTTACTCACACTCTGCACAAGTGCTGCATATGTGAATCTCATAAACACGGTCAAAAACATATTTGGGTTAGTTCATAGTAGAAACATTTATGAGAAAATAGGAACTTTTTATTTTTTTTGCATTGCAACATTTTCATGACCATTCACAAGCACATATGCCTCACAATTCTCAATGTAATGATAAAAAAACTTCATTCTCATCATGTAATTAAAACTGATTAGTATTGAAACTAGGGCTGCACGATAAATGTATCGCATGCGATATTTAACGCGCATCTTGTCAGTAAAGCCATTCTGTAATCAGCGGTAAATCTCCATCACGTGCGGGCTTGATTTACCGCTGATTACAGAACCGGCTTTCTGACAAGATGCGCGTTAAATATCGCATGCGATTTATCGTGCAGCCCTAGTTATCACTATGTCGGAGACATGCTAGCTTTCCCAAGGCAGATGAACTTAGAGTGGTTACAATCATCCGGGTTTAAATCGCACTCAAATTGATTTGATATTGACCCAATATTTACACTGAAGCTCGCAGGTGGCTATGGTAAGGGGCTTGTCATTTCCCAGAACTTTTCCACGACATTCTAATTTATTGAGATGCACCTGTACATGGAATGCCAAAGCTGACTTAATTAGAAATAAAGAAAGAAAGAAAGAAATGTACAAAGATATGTAAAAAAGCAAATATAAATCAAAAAAATATATAAATAAAAATACAAAGAAAAGTAAAAAAGCAAAAATAAATAATTATTTATACGTTTATTTCCTTATTTATGTATTTTTTAAATTTTTTTCCACATTTATTTTTTCTTTTATTTATTTATACATTTATTTATTTCCATTTATTAAATTTTTTTTAATGAAAATTTTGTTTTATAGAATAGCTAGGGTATTCGTTATGTTCGTATATTGCTTATGACGAAAATTCATTAGCCTATTTGTTATGAAGTTGATTTAAAATTCTTCATAACAAATTTTAAGAAGTTAAAAGTTAAGAAAGAAGGATATTAGCCTGTAGTCTGATCTATAGGCTAATTTTCTTGACTTTTATTAGACAGCAGATCGAAAAAAAATAATTCTTGATAATCTTTAAAATGAGAGAAATCACTGACATAATTTAGGCTATACTTTCTTCGACTGCAGAAAAAAAATGTAACCATTTCATTTGCAGTGTTAACTTATGAATTAAATGAAAAACAAGAAATAAATCACAACAAGAACAATAGTTTTTTTCTTGTAATCAAGAAAAAATTTGACAAAATTTCAAAATGAATGCTGAATGATATTTGACAGTGAACGCATCTCCACTGCATAGCCGCATACAATCGTTGGTGTCAGTCGCAAATATTAATGTTTTAGGCTACAATGCATGG